ACAGCATAGGGAGGAGGTGACCAGCTCTCTGTGGAGTAAGAAGAGGTTCAGGACTATTTAGAAGAGCTGAATAAGCATAAGTCCATGGGGCCGGATGCGCTGCATCCAATGGTGCTAAAGGAGTTGGCGGATGTGATTGCAGAGCCATCGGCCATTATCTTTGAAAACTCATGGCGATCGAGGGACATCCCAGATGACTGGAAAAAGGCTAATGTAGTGCCCATCTTTAAAAAAGATCCGGTAAGGAGGATCCAGGGAACTAAAGGCCAGTCAGACTCACCTCAGTCCCTGGAAAAATCATGGAGCAGGTCCTCAAGGAATCAATTTTGAAGCACTTAGAGGAGAGGAAAGTGATCAGGAACAGTCAGCATGGATTCACCAAGGGAAAGTCATGCCTGACTAACCTAATTGCCTTCTATGAGGAGATAACTGGCTCTGTGGATGAGGGGATAACAGTGGACGTGTTATTCCTTGACTTTAGCAAAGCTTTTGATATGGTCTCCCACAGTATTCTTGCCAGCAAGTTAAAGTAGTATGTGCTGGATGAATGGACTATAAGGAGGATAGAAAGCTGTCGAGATCGTCGGGCTCAACAGGTAGTGATCAATGGCTTCCATGTCTAGTTGGCAGCGGGTATCGAGCGGAGTGCCCCAAGGGTCGGTTCTGGGGCCGGTTTTGTTCAATATCTTAATGAATGATCTGGAGGATGGTGTGGATTGCGCCCTCAGCAAGTTTGCAGATGACACTAAACTGGGAGGAGTGGTAGAAATGCTGGAGGGCAGGGATAGGATACAGAGGGACCTGGACAAATTAGAGGATTGGGCCAAAAGAAATCTGATGAAGTTCAACAAGGACAAGTGCAGAGTCCTGCACTTAGGACAGAAGAATCCCATGCACTATTACAGACCAGGGACCTAGTGGCTAGGCATCAATTCTGCAGAAAAGGACCTAGGGGTTACAGTGGACGAGAAGCTGGATATGAATCAACAGTGTGCCCTTGTTGCCAAGAAGGCTAATGGCATTTTGGGCTGTATAAGTAGGAGCATTGCCAGCAGATCAAGAGACGTGATCGTTCCCCTTTATTTGGCATTGGTGAGGCCTCATCTGGAGAACGGTGTCCAGTTCTGGGCTCCACACTACAAGAAGGATGTAGAAAAACTGGAAAGAGTCCAGTGGAGGGCAACAAAAAGGGTTAGGGGGCTGGAGCGCATGATTTATGAGGAGAGGCTGAGGAAACTGGGATTACTTAGTCTGCAAAAGAGAAGAATGAGGGGGGATTTGATATATGCTTTCAACTATCTGAAAGGGGGTTCCAAAGAGGATGGATCTAGATTGTTCTCAGCGGTAGCAGATGACAGAACAAGAAGTAATGGTCTCATGTTGCAGTGGGGAAGGTTTAGGTTGGATATTAGGAAAAACTTGTTCTCTAGGAGGGTGGTGAAGCAATGGAATGGGTTACCTAGGGAGGTAGTGGAATCTCCTGCCTTAGAGGTTTTCAAGGTCAGGCTTGACAAAGCCCTGGCTGGGATGATTTAGTTGGGGATTGGTCCTACTTTGAGCACGGGGTTGGACTAGATGACCTCCTGAGGTCCCTTCCAACCCTGATATTCTATGATTCTATGATCAAGCTGCTACAACTCTGACCCATCTGCACGACCGTGACTTGCAGAGGCGTCGCCGGAACCTCCAGATGAGAGGATCCTGACTGGCCATCGGGTGAATTATGTCTGTATAGTGGGAGTGTTGAGCATAAGAGATTTGCTTGGTATATGTATTCTCTGTGTGTTGCTAAGAAATAGATGTTCAGAGCACAGTTGTATAAGGCTCTCTCACTGAGAAAAAGTCCTGCAGACCCATAGGGCCCTGAGAACCAAGGGAAAGGGCAGGTACTTAAATTGACCAAGTTTCTTCCTGAGCCCCGTGGGTAAGAATAGGTGCCTTACACCCTGAGCCCTCGGAAGGGAAAGGATGGGGGTGCCTAAATTGATTGGATATAGGCGAGGTGCCCTGGATTTTTGGCGGGTAACATGGGGGACAGCACCGGGGGCACCCCCTACAGCGCTGTGCTAGGAACAAGCCCTTACCTTGAGCCCAGGGTATACCACCCCCACCAGGGCTCTGCTGGGTTTGAGCAGGGATGCAGACATAGAGGAGAGACATCACGGCCCACCTTAGCCACAGGATGGGGCTGTTCCCGCAGACCCCTGGACATGCAGGTCTTTGGCCAGGCTGCCAGTGCACAGGGGACACAGGTGAGCCCGTTTGACCAGAGCCCAGGTGCCCAGGCTGACTCCTCGTTCGAATAACACAGTGCAGATGGGCACCAGCTTCCTCTTTACAGCAGGTGCTGTCCACTGAGGCAGCGCCATCTAGATCCAAGGGCAGCGCGGTGGGGGGAGGGGGAAAGCAAAGCTGCTGGAATAGGAAGGAAGGTCCCATCACAGGTCAAGGACAGAACTGGCCACCTGCATGCCCTAGGGCGGCATGTTCCCAAGGAACTCCTGTAACACCCTTTGGCTGGCTTCCCCACTGCAGGCGGAGAACTCACCCTCTCCAGCCTGACAGAGCAAGCCTAGAGCCAGGCCATGCTGTGCCCACTCCTCCAGCCCAGGCCTGAGTCTCTCCCACCATGTCCCATCCTATTATTTAAGAGTGGATTGGGCTGGGCTTGAATGAGAGATAAACCCAGCCTCTGCGGTGCCCCGCCCCCCACAGCCCCTACTCCTAGGCACAGCATCTGGCTTCAAATGGTAACTAAGTCCACATTCAGAAGTGACAGCCGCTACTTCCCTAGCACTGCCTCAAGGGCTTGACACACGCTCAGGACACAGCCGAGTTCCCACCAGATGGAAGGACAAAACTGGGAACCAGAAACAGAGCTGCTACCAAGGCCGCACCCTTTACTCTTCCTAACCACCAGGAATGCATGGGCTGCCTGTGAGACGGAGTGAGGGGCTTTCCTAGGTGGATTGCTCATCACCCCTTCCTGCCACTGTAGAAATCTGCCCGCAGCCAGAGATCATGTAGCGACAGAGAGGGGGAATGAGTCAGGATTATTACACAATCCGGCAAAGCAGGCAGTCGTCGGATTCCAGAGGCAGCAACATCCCTTCAGCTGCCAACACGCTGTTTGTTTTGCTTGTGCAAACTAAGTCGGCTTCCTGCACAGGCCGCGCTATCAGTTTCCAACTGGCCTATGGGCCCATTTCACACCAGAAACCTCCCACGCTTCCAAACCCACTCTCTGCAAGGTGCCAGGCTCTCCTACCGTTTGCCAGCATGGCACAGCCCAGTGTTAAACTGCAAGTTGCCCTGGAACCAAGACCCTGCCCCCCCCCACCCCCCCCAAGGTGAGCTTGCTCCTCATCTCTTGGGACGCTGCCGAGGAACGTATCCACACGGAGGGGCTGGCCACCTTGGGTGAGCACTGCCCAGGCTCTGAGCCACGGGAACACCACAGAAGTCAGGTTGCAAACACCTCCTTTCAACACTCTGCAAACAAAACAGGCAGCGTGTTCCCAATTCCTGGGGGCCCCAAGGAAGGGGGCACCAACTTGTTCTGCTCCAGGAAGAACACAAGGCTGAGAGAAAAGGGGAAAAGCAAACAGCCACACAATGCAAGGAACGGGAAGGACAGCAAACAGCAGCCGATTAGTAAAAATAGGAGAAGGCCAAATCAGACCAGACTTTCACCTTATGCAGAGATTGCTAGCCACAGGTTATCACTGTTATTACTCATGCCTATTGCGGCAGGGCCTAAGGGTGACCACACGGTGCCAGGCACTGTAAGACACCCCATAGCTATGGCAGTGTGAGGCCGGCCAGGAGCGCGGTACCACCCACTAACACAGCTGGGTGGCACAGAATTAGCTTTGCCCACAGCAGTGCTTGCTGCCCAGAGAAATTTTTGTGGATGGTCATTTTCTACAGTCCTGAGATCACAGGTTTGGAGTCAAGCAGAAGCTCAAAGTGCCAGTGAGTAGCAAAAAGTTGGCATAGCCCTTTTTTCCCCTCTCTGCCTCCCTTGCTGCCAATAACCATGTCTGTCTGTATCCCACCACTCAGAAAACACGGGCTCAAGTGCAGATCACAGGGTTGAGAGTCAGGAAGGCCCAAGTTCTCACGCTGGGTCTGACATGGTTTTTCTGCAGGACTCTGGACCAGCCCCGTCCCCTCCCTCTGCCTCACTTTCCCCATCTGGCAAACGCAGGGGAAGCAAATGTTTCCTTGGGACTTTGTGAGGCTCCATTCATATTTGCACAGCACTTTAAGCAGAGGAAGTGCTATTTGCTAAGCCCATGGGCCACACCCTCTTGAAGGAACGGAAGCAGAAGACAGAGCAGGGCACTTGGATCAACTCATGTGCTGCTAAGAAGTAATGAGGCTGCTGATAAATGTGTGTCATCGGGGCTTATATATAATTCATGGGGTAGAAAAGCAATTAAACCAAACCGCACTGGCTGGGGGGAGGAGCTTTTAGAGTTTGGGGGACAGAAAACAAGGCCGCTATAACTGATCATGAACTACAGCCCCACTAGTCCCACCCTCAAGGTGACATGCGACACAACTAGCTCTGCTCGGAGCAAGGTCAGCAATATGTAAACTGCAAAGAGCCTGGAGCTGCAGCTCGGGCAGCGACCCCCGGCCCTAACCATACAAGCACAGATCCTCACCCACCAGGGCACTCCGCAAGGATGGGGCTCCCCTCAGATGGATCTCAGCTACTGCAGCTGCTAAAGGTCATCTCAACACCCCCCAAACTAGGAAGCACAAAGGCCCGGCTAGCACAGGTAAGGGTGAGGAACAGGATGACGTTAAACAAACTTTGAGCCTCAATAGCTGAGGTTCAATGTGGAATGAGAGGACTGGGGGCAGCTGGGCCACGGTTTCCTTTTATCCCAACCAACTGGCCCACCCCAGAGAAACCGCTATGGACAGAAAGCGCTGCATGCCCCCTGCTCCCCTGGCAAGGGGGAAGCTGGTGTGTGCAGGGGACTCACGTTGTGGGGGCAGTACTCAACGGCCTGGAAGAAGCTAAGCCCTCGCAGCAGCTCACGCTGGGCAACACCACAGCACTTGGACATCCCATCCTCAATGGCCTGGTTGATCTGGTGCACAGGGAAGGCGCACACCGCCGAGTACCAGCGCGGCACGGAACTCTCCGCCTCACTCTCAGCGAACGCACCGAACAGGACCAGGTCGGTGTTGTTGACGCTGATTTCCTGGGCCAGCTTTGGGCCCGGCCTGGCCACATAGGCTGCCTGAAGCACGTTGAAAGCCACATCGCGCTTGTGCTCCCCGTCCAAGCTCTGCCTCCGCCTCCGCTTGGACTCAAAGCGGCAATCCAGGACCAGCTCGCGGTACTGATGCATGTCATGCTCCTCGGCACTCAGCCGCGCCAGCCGCGTGTGGTACGATCCAGACATGGGGCTCTCCTTTTGGACAGTCAGGAAGTACACAAAGTCCTGGGCACTGAAGGAATACACGTAGTCAATGGGGTAGGAGTCCTGGAACTCTGACAGCACGTTGAGGGAACGGGAAACATGGAAGAACCCATCCAAGGTAGCCTTCGGTCTCCGGATAGACACAGATTCTGGGCTGTACCTCGCAGCTATACTGCTATTGATGGTAGAGGCAATGTAGAAGTAAGAAACATGGCTGGTTTCAGTCACCAGGACCCTCGTCCCCAGGGGGCTGGCCACGCAGTCTGGGCACTCAGCAGGACTGTTGTCCGCTGAATACAAACAGTAGGTGGCACTAACCACCACCAGGCTGTCTTGGATTTCCAATTCGTGCAGGAAACACCGGCCATGCTGGGAAGTGCCACAGCTGTATAGCCACGGCTCAGATGGGTCCAGCACCAGAACCACGTTATCTGTGTCTTCAGGCTTCCGGACGGCTCCCAGCTCCTGGCACTGGGCACAGATCTCGCACTGAGCACTGCCCACGGGGCCAGTCACGATGATGGATGAGTTTGCTAGTGCTTGGGTCACCACATAGATCTTGTTCCGCACCGCCACAAAGAGGGCGGCTACTCCGCTCGGATCCTTGTAGGTGACAATGTTCTGGATGGGGCCATCTGCGGTGAAGCTGGGCAGCTCGTACTTGACGGTGAAGTCCCTGGTAGCATTATAGGGAATCCGTGGGCACTGCCAAGTGCTGAAAGAAACTCCAGTGAGCATGAACCCCAGGGAGAGGCAAACCAGGAATGAAAGCCCCATGCTAGGGGAGGAAACGCCGCTCCAGGATCCTTGACTCCAAAGGTCACCTGAGCTCCTCAGCTCTGAGCAGGTCTGGGATCCATCGAGTGTGAGCTACCATCCTACTACAGCTGAAATACCAGCAGGAAAGAGCATGTTAGTCTCAGCATTGAAGAGATGCCACATCCCACTCGAGTACTCACCGGGAGCACACCACCTCCCCATCCCCCAGGGCAGGCACCGGGTCTCCCCCCAGAGTGCAGAGGGGATCAGGCCCCCCATGGCTGGATCTCTCCAGCATGTCCACAGCACCTCCCAGCTGGACAGACCCAGAAAAGCGCTAGTCCATCTCATTCACTGGAGGAAAGAAGTGGATTTGTATTGATGGGTCTTGAAGCATACTGCCCTGATGCTGCACTGCCGTGTCAGCCAGTCGCTTGCACAGTCAAGCATCTGGTAACCTCAGTGAGGGCTCACCCAAACCAGGCAAGCCAATACACCCTGCATGCACTGCCCTGGATACACACGGGGGCTGAGGCACATCGGATGTTGAACAGAACGAAGAAGCCTGGCTTGGTTTTAACCAGCTATGACATTTGGATCCCTAAAGACTGGAGGCTGCATGGCTCTGGGGCCCACTTCAGTTGGGATCTGCAAGTAGACAACACTTCTTTCCCCAGAATCCCCTCACCTCTCATGGGCAGCCCAAGCTGTTTGGAAGAGGTAGCACCGGGCAGCCCCTCCTCCATCTGGCCTCCGCACTGCCATGAGATGGAGACAGGAAGGGCTGGGGAGAGGGGAGATCCCTCTCCCTCACTCAGGCACCTGCTGCAGAGCCAGGGACCGAGCATCAAAGGTGAGCCTGGCTACCATCTCAGCCTACATCTAGCTAGGATGGGAACATGGGCGGCGAGTCCTATGGGCCTGTGGTGCCTGGGCACCAGGAATATTCCTGGCCCAGGGCCCGGCTCCAGCAATGTCTGAGGCTGGGTCTCTCCCTCGGCCCCACCTTCCGCCCCGGGCACCCCCGTGCCATGTGTCCCCTGGGCCGTTTAAAACAGCCCGGGGCCTCCACTCACCACCGGCAGTACAGCGGAGCTGAGCAGATTCCTGCCTGCTCGCTCCACGTGGCTGCAGACACCTTCCTGCAGCCCCTGGGTGGGGTGGGTCTGTGTCCTGCCCCAAGTGCTCCTGCGGGGGCAGTGCCTGGGGGTAGCAGCACATGGAGACGCCCACCTGCCCTGCTAGGAGTCCCAGATAAGCACTGCACACACACCCCTCCCAGAGCCTGCACCCCCTCCTTTAGCCCTCAAACTCCCTCCCAGAGCCTGTATCCCCACCCCCAGCTCAGAGCCAGCATTCAAACTCTGTCCCAGAGCCTGCACCCCTCACCTCCTCCTGCACACCCACCCCCTGCCCTAGCCTGGAGCCTGCACCCAGCACCCAAAGTCTGTCCCAGAGCCTGCACCCCTCCCCCTTCCCACACACCCTCTCCTGCCACCAAACTCCCTCCCAGAGCCTGCACCCCAGCCCTCCGCACTCCCTCCCAGAGCCTGCAACCAAACTCCTTCCCAGAGCCTGCACCCCTCACCCCCTCCTGCACCCAGCACCCAAACTCCATCCCAGAGCCTGCACCCCAGACCCCCTCCCCCACCCAAACTCCCTTCCAGAGCCCAACCTCTCACCCGTCCTGCACCCCAATCCCCTGCCTCAGCCCAGGGCCTGCACCCCAGACCTCCTCCCCCCACCCAAACTCCCTCCCAGAGCCTTAGGCAGGTGGGGGGCAGAGTTGGGGGGGCAGGTTCTGGACACCACCAAAATTGCTACAAACCTGCCACCCCTGGATGGGAATGAAGGGCCTTATTGACAGCCCGCCTCCACTGTTCCCAAAACCATCTGGGTAGGAGCCTTTGTCAGGAAAGTTGAAAGGAGCACTGAAGCTCAGAACAGGGCCCCAGTCAGGCTGTCTGCTAACAAGGGAGGCCTCGGGACTGCACTCACTTCCCTACAGAGCAAAAATTGCAACAGATCAAGAGGCAAAACTCCTGGCCCCAAATCATCTCCATGCATAGCAAGCCCAAGTCTGTTCCAGCTTTATAGAACACCTGCCTCGCTGGATCTGCCCATCTCTGGAAATGAGTTCCACTGGATTTCAGACGCTGGGTCCCTGGAGTAAGCGAAGTTGACAAGGTTTGGTTTCTGTTTGGTTTATTATTATACACGGCTAAAGCCTCAGGGGTACATTTTCCTAACCTTCATAAGCGCATGTGGAGGTGCCCTCAAGCGCAGGAAGTGCATCCACAACTGGCTGGTTATGTTGCTAAACTGCCACTGTTGAGTGGGCACTTAGGCTTTGTCTACATGGGAAAGTTTTACCAGTTAAACCACTATAGTTATATCAGTATAATCCCCCCTCCCCCCACATCCACCCTCTGCCATGCACAAGCTTTATTCCACTATAAGAGACCATTTTTCTGGGTTAGTTTAAACTTCTTCCCAAGCAACATCCGCTAAATCAAACAAGCCACCTTTCTCCTGGCGAGTATCCCCATGGAGCATGGCAGCACCTCTCGATTAGTTTAATTACACACTTCAGCTTACAAATAAGGAAATTTTGCCTTTTAAACAAGGTGGCTTTGGAGCGGGGAACTTCCTCCTCTCATTCTGTCTAGGGCTGCTAGCTGCAGACACACACACCCTGATCACTGCAGTGATTCCGGAAACTTGCCCGCACTGTCTCACACCTCCTCTGCTCCAGCACAACATGCCAGAAGAAGGCAGAGGGGGAGAGAATATGGATAAGGAGAGCCAGCCACTCCCTCTACCCCACACCCACCCACCAGCTGGGCATGCTGGGGGCGGGGGGGAGATGAAAGTGGGGAAAGACACCTAGAAGCCAGGAGAACAGTGGGGTTTCCACCAAGACAGGAAGCATGGTAGGTGGAGATGCCCTCCGCATGCCACAAAAACCACGGGACAGGAACGGTTATGACTGACAAGGGCAGATTTGAAGCAGTGACCTGGTGGTGGCAGGTCCTGCTGTGCCTCATGCCTAGTGCTGCAGGTGATGGGCCCTGCGCCCCACTCCCTATCAGATCAGATGCCCGGGTGGTTCTCCCATGCCAGGTGGCACTCTGTCCTGAGCACCCCCGTTGAGTCTCATTAATACGCTCCCAATGGTTAGAAACTGGCCCTAGGAAACTGTGCCAGGCACAGGCAGAGATCTGTCCCTGGGACCAGCATACAGGCACCCACTGAGAGGCAACCCAATGGTCTCAGAGCGTCTGCCTGCCCCTGCCCCGGCCCTTCCCCCCTGGGCAGGGATCCCAACGGCCGGCCTGGGACCCTCTCTGCACCACCCCCGGGGATCTGCCCTGGGAACAGGGAAACCTGGCATCAGTGAGTATAAAATCGGTATTCACCCCCCACGACCCCCATCTCAGAGACACCCCCTGCCCGGTCCTGCTGCCCCAGACACCCCCACCCCAGAGACACCCCTTCCCTGTATCCTCCCTCCTGCCCCAGACGCACCCCCTGCCAGGCCCTGCTGCCCCAGACACCCCCACCCCAGAGACACCCCTTCCCTGTATCCTCCCTCCCGCCTCAGACGCACCCCCTGCCTGGCTCCTGCTGCCCCAGACGCCCCCGCCTCCCCGGAGACCCCACTCTCCCAAGCCGAAACCCACCGCAGACGCCGGCCGCTGAGCTGAGCTGAGCTGAGCCGAGCCGGGACCGGGCCGGGCCACCCCGTGTGTGCTCGACCTGGGCGCTCCGCTCACCTGGCCGGGCACCTCCGGGGCGGGGCGAGCTGAGCCGTGGGAAGGACGCGCCAGCTCCCGCCCTGGGGCCGGCACGACGGGCGGGCTCCTGCCAGCGGGTCCGCCCGCAGTCTGGTTGGAGCCCCTCGGCAGCGCGGGGTGTGACGTACGCGAGAGCACGGGAGCTGTGAGTGCCTAGCTAGCCGGGCTGTCATCCCCGGACAGACACACACATTTACACACACGTCGGACAGACACACACCAGACACACACACACAGGAGTAATGGTCTCAAGTTGCAGTGGGGGAGGTTTAGGTTGGATATCAGGAAACACTATTTCACTAGGAGGGTGGTGAAACACTGGAATGCGTTGCCTAGGGAGGTGGTGGAATCTCCTTCCTTAGAAGTTTTTAAGGTCAGGCTTGACAAAGCTCTGGCTGGGATGATTTAGTTGGGGATTGGTCCTGCTTTGAGCAGGGGGTTGGACTAGATGACCTCCTGACGTACCTTCCAACCCTGATATTCTATGATTCTATGATCCCAGACACACATTCACACACACCCCGGACAGACACACACACCGGACGCACAGACACATACTGGACAGACACAAACATTCACACACACCCCAGACAACCACACGTACACCCTGGACACAAACACACCCCAGACAGACACACACAAACCCAAGACGGGGACACACACACACTCTGGACACACACACACACACTCCAGACAAACAGACACACACACACACCAGACAGACAGACATACACCCCGGACGGATGGACACACATACCTGACAGACACACACATACACCCCCTCCCCCCCCCACACCAGACAGACAGACAGACGCATACACACTGACTGGCCAGACACACACACACGCACTGAACAGACAGGCAGACATACACCCCGGACACACACGGACAGACAGGCATACACCATGAACACAAAAACACATTGCACACACACACACACACACCTACACACACACCCTGTACAAGTACACACACTCCCATACATACACCCTGTATAAACACACATGCACACTTTGCAGACAAACACATCCTGTACTGACACACACATACACCCGTACACTCGCACACACGTACACTCACACCCGATACAGACACACATACATTCACATCCCAATACAGACAGACACATACATGTACACACACACACAGGTACACTCATACACACACACCCCATACAGATACACATATGTACACTCATACACACACACACACCATACACACACCCTATACAGATACACATACATGTACATTCACACACACACATATACTCACAGCTTGTGCAAAAAGAAAAGGAGTACTTGTGGCACCTTAGAGACTAACCAATTTATTTGAGCATAAGCTTTCGTGAGCTACAGCTCACTTCATCGGATGCATATGTGCAAACCCAGACATGCACACCCATGCACTGACACACACATACCCTGTATATACACACACACCTTCATACACTCACACCCCGTACAGACATATACACACCCGTACACTGTCTCACACACTCCCATATGCTCACACCCCATACACACACACAACCCCATACACTCACTCAAACAGTCACACACGCTCTTGTACACTCATACATGCATACATACATAGATACACACACCCCTGTACACTCACACATAGATACACACAGATACTCACTCAAACATGGACACGCACACACATGTACACTCACATGTGCAAACACACAGAGATAGGCACATGCACCCTGTACACTCACATGTGCATACACTCAGAAATACACACATACAGATACATGCACTCTGTGCACTCACGTGCATACACACGGAGATACACACTCATCCCTGTACACTCACACATGCATACACATGCAGATACACATAATTGTGTGCATGCACACACACACACATATATACCTGTACATGTACACACACACATATTCACAGATACATGCGTGAGCACTAACACACCCATATACACACATACATAACTGAATGCAGCTACTCACAAACATACATATACGCTGATTAGGCACCTTGGCAATCTTTTTGAAACACAGTCAGTAAACACCCAGAGCCGCCTGTAGCGCCGCAAGGCCTGGGCTAATAATGGAGGCCCGTGGGGCCTGCTTTCATTGTGCGATCAGTGTGGGAAAGTGGCTCATGGCTGTGACATGCTCCAAGCAGGTGTACCATGGAATGGGGATGTGGAAAGGTGCGAACAGGAGACAGATTCAATTAGTCCAAACAAAGAGGCTGTTGATGAGTCAGGGACTCTGTTCAAATCAGGTCTGATAAACCAGAGATGTGGGGGCCTGAAAATTAACGGCCCACAACTGGGGTGTAGGAAATGAGGCCTAATTGGCTATCACAATGATGAGGGGCTGGGCGACCCCACCCCTCTGTTTTTGGGGGTTCTTAAAAAAAAAAGACTTTTGCAGGAAATGAACAACTGCTGGCTGGGAGATAGGCAAAGCGAAGAGGGAAAGCACCTCCAGCCTGGTTCCCGCCCCCACCATCTCTAGAGAACCCAGGATCCGCCGGGACACAACTGGGCTTCCATCAGCCTGATAAATGTCCTGAGAAGGCCAGGCCAGAGCAAGGGGATCCCACCAGCTCTGGCTAACTCATGAGCAGCACCTGGGATGTGAGACTTTGTCATACACCCCCCACTCGTGCATCCTGCTACAGGGTAAGAGGGAAGGTGCTCTCATGGACTGATAAATGGTTAAAAGATAGGAAATAAAGGGTAGGTATAAATGGTCAGTTTTCAGAATGGAGAGAGGTAAATAGTGGTGTCCCCCAGGGCTCTGTTCTGGGACCAGTCCTGTCATAACCATACCGCTAAGAGTAGCCTAGAATTCCTCCTTACCTGTAAGGGGTTAAGAAGCTCAAATAACCTGGTTGGCGCCGGACCAATGGGGAAAGAAGATGCTTTCAAATCTGGGGGGAAGGCTTTGTTTGTGCTCTTTGTTTGTGTGTTCTCTTGGGAAGCAGAGAAGCACCAGGTCAGAAAACTCCTTCACCTATAAACCGTCCTAAAGTGAGTCTCAATATTGCAAAAAGAGTAAGTAAATAAGGCAGGGTGTGTTAGATTAACTTTTGTTTTCAACCTGTGAATTTTCCCTGTGCTAAGAGGGAGGTTTATCCCTGTTTTTTGTAACTTTAAAGTTTTGCCTAGAGGGGAATCCTCTGTTTTGAATCTGATTACCCTATAAAGTTACCTTTCATCCTGATTTTTCAGAGGTGCTTCTTTTACTTTTTTTTTTCTTTAAAAGAAAAGTTCTGTTTTTTAAGAATCTGGCTTACCTATTTGATTGGTATACTATTCTCAAGCCTTCCCAGGAAGGGGGTGTAGGGTTTGGGGGGATTTTGGGGGAATAGGAATTCCAAGTGGTCCTTTCCCTGATTCCTTGTCTAAATCACTTGGTGGTGGCAGCGTACCGTCCAAGGACAAAGGATTAACCTAAGCTGGTAGAAATAAGCTTAGGGGGCTTTCATGCGGGTCCCCACATCTGTACCCTAGCATTCAGAGTGGGTAGGGAACCCTGACATGGTGGTAGCGGTGGGATCATTTTGAACCAAAAGCACAGTAGGATTTTAAAAGGACAATTTTTTTTTTCCTTTTGGCTGCTTGGAAAGCAGGGAGGGCTTTATTGTGTTTTTTTTAAGGATTTTTTTTAAGCTTTGGAGCACCTGGAGTTTTTTTTCTCTGCCTGAGGGCAGGGTAGTTAACTCCTGCAGGGGAATTCATGGGTGTTTTATTTTTTTTCTTTCTAACTCTCGGGTATAGCTAGAGTTAAGCACAAGAAAGCAGAAAAATGACTACTAGTGAAGCAGCTAATAAACTAGACCTGGCTAGACTGGAAGTACAAGAGAAAGAAAATGAACATCAGAGACGGATGGAATTAAGACAACTAGAAATAAATGCATAGGAGGTTGCCCACAACAGAACGATGGAGGCAGAAGAAGCTGCCCACAAGAGAGCCCTGGAGTTAAAAGAAAGAGAGAAGAAGCATGAAGTGGAGTTAAAGTTGGCAAGGGCTACACAAAATATACCAGACAACCCTAGCAATCCTTCTCCAGGTACCGCTTCCCATCCCAGAAAGTTCCTCACCTACAAGGCAGGCGATGATACAGAGGCCTTCTTAGAAAATTTCGAAAGGGCCTGCCTTGGGTACAGCATCCCTACAGACCAGTACATGGTAGAGCTGAGGCCACAACTCAGTGGACCCTTAGCAGAAGTGGCGACTGAAATGCCTAAGGAACACATGAACAGTTATAAACTTTTTAAAAAACAGGCCAGAATCAGAATGGGGCTAACACGCGAGCATGCCTGTCAGCGGTTCAAAGCCCTAAAGTGGAAACCGGACGTGGCATTTTACCGACACGCCTACCACATTGTGAAACATTGGGATGCCTGGATATCAGGAGCAAGCGTTAAATCTCTGGTAGATCTGTCTCTCCTCATGCAAATGGAGCAGTTCTTAGACGGTGTTCCTGAAGAAATAGAAAGGTACATCCTAGATGGGAAGCCCAAAATGGTAATCGAGGCAGCGGAGATTGGAACCAAATGGGTGGAGGTGCCAGAAAAGAAAAAAACTAGTAGCAGTTGGAGCGACTATCAGAAGGGGCAACCCGAGATGACACCCTATCACCGGGGGCAGCCCAAGGCCCCACCTACATCCCAAGTTAAAACCCAAACACCTTATCGTTCCACCACACCTTTCTCCAGCAACCCACCTCGCCCCAGTGACCAGTCAGCAGGGCGATGTTTTAAATGTAATGAGCTGGGGCATGTGAAGGCCAACTGCCCCAAGAACCCCAACAGACTTCAGTTCATTGCACCAGAATCACACCAAAGGTCCTCAGGCCCAGATGCCTCCCAGGTACCTCAGAGAGAAGGGAAACTGTGAGTGTGGGTGGGAAGAAGGTTACAGTGTGGAGGGACACTGGAGCACAGGTGTCAGCTATCCACCAATC